TACAGGGAGCTTTCTAGTAGCTAATACAAATTTTCAAGGTCATGTAAGCTATTTTCGCATTTGGATAGACCAAATTATTCATTCTTTTCCAACCACATTCTAACCTTGTCACTTATTAGTCTATTAACCTTGACTGTTTTTATATGATCGTATGTGTTAATAGCTTTCCTTGTTCATTGCGTGTCTGTAATTGACCGTTGATTTGGCTGTAAATATTGCGTAATGCTCGATTGAACTGAGTTGGCTCGATCGCTTCCTCCACTGAGCGTCATTTCGTTTCGCTTACTTCGCCTTGTTTCTCTGATTGTCTGTTCGAATCAATGAGTGCATGAAATATACGTATTCAAAACCCATTCTCGTATCAGTCTTGTATAATTCCGATGATCACTAACGCGAATTAAGTTGATGAAAGTGCACGAGGTTAGCTGGGATGTATATTTCGATAACACTGAGCAAGCGATCAGATAAAGGGTCCACCAAAGGCATTTCTAAACTCATACTATACTTACTATTGATTCGTGCTCCAAATGCACAAATTAAGTGTATACGAGCAGTCTTTGCGGATACCCTACACGAAAACCTATAAGGAGGACTTTTAGTCGTATGGAGATATCTAAACGATTAGTGGCTGATAATAGAACCCATTTCACGGGAAAAAAATTAACAGCTAGGTTATTATATTGGATACCTTATTCTAGTTACAGCTCCAGAAATACCTCGGTGTAGTGGATTAGCGGGGAAGTTCGTTCGACCTTTAAAGCTTGCTATCACACCAGGGAATGAAAGTAATCTGTAGAAGCTAGAAAATGTACTACAACTTTTTTGCTTCAATATCGAACATTCAAGGACTCACATTAGTTCAGCTAAACTCTTAGATCTCGGATATTTCGAGCTAATTTAGTGAACAAAATACTTAGACAATGACATTTTTTCCGGGTAAATGATGGTTGATCATTTACGAGGATCATGGTTTGGAGGATCAATTTCCCTAGGATTAAAGTGATATGTACACATATGAATATACATATATCATTTATAGACTTGAATTACTTGACATTGTTGGTTACAACCGTTTTGTTGGATTGTAATAATCCCAATCATCTTGAAGGATAAATGCACCTTGGCTTTCGTTGTACGTCTTCCCAATCCAGTTCATTTGCGTCTGACTAAGGAATTGTGATTTTGTAACTCTGCGTCTCACCGTTGACCACATCACTCGTATAGACTCTTCAGTTGACACCCACCAATGAAGAGGGTTAGTATACAACAGAATTTGACGGTATTGGTATTTAGCTCTTTTCTGTAAAGATGTTACCGAGGCGAATAAGAAGGTCAATTATAACTGGTGGGACATATATTCAAACTGTATTTTGATGCATAATAGTGTATAAGGTACAGCTGGCTAGTTTTCAGAGATGAGTTCCCCGATGTACCGAAACACGAATTAATTTTGATGCATGACTGAAAGCTTCTGGTTGGCGGTGTCTCCAGTACAACTAATATGTACGTCAATTTTAGGGACTTATTCGTTGATACAAACTACATTTTGGAATGAAATTTCTGCATTTCCATAAGGTAGTAAACTACGTATTATACAGTTACGTATTATGTTCGGGCCATTTTGAAGTGTCCTGCTAATATTTATGCCACATTTTCTGCCAAAACCATTATATAATCCGTATGTTATTAAAACTTAGGTGACATGATAATCAATCAATATCAACAAGTTATTTAATATTCATAAATGGATTAATGTTTAATTGCTTGTACCTACATTTTATAAAGAACTACCCACATCCATGTTCATCATCATCAAAATCAAGGAGATGAACCATATGTAATACGTTTTAAAGCTTATTTTCCTGAAAACTCAATCTGTGATCTATTTTATAACTTGAAAAATGGTGAATCTTACTTGGTTGAATTTGTATTGTTGCAAATAACCTCATTAGGCTTACTAAAGATTCACTTAGCTGGTGAGCAAAAAATACGTCAAACTGATAATAAATTGGAATAAAAACTATGTAACAAGCACAAACAATACGAAAATTGACGTGGGTAGGAAAAAAGGCTGTTAATAGCTGATAAATAACGACACAAGAAATCCACGACAATATGTTATATGTGCGCGAAAACCCATGGCCTAACGGCCTTACTGTGCCATCAATCACCATTAAGTAAAACAAACAAAACAGGATTGATCATAGTACTTGGTAAAACGATTCATGTCAAGGTTAAGAATGCATATAAGACGGAAAAGATTTCCAGCGCTTGTCCTGTTCCTGCAACGGTTGACCATTGTTATTTTTTGTTGTCTGTTGGAAACGGTTATTATTCGACCGATTCTTTGCAGACAGGAATTTAATCTTATTATTTTGGCAATATTTTTGCTGATTTTCAGCTAATTAGTAGTTATATTTATTAACTATTTATCTCTAGTGAGTTATTTGCTATCAGAAAAAACTTTTGGCTGTATGGTAGAAGAAATACTGTATCTTTCGCTATAGTTTGTTTTCATATTTGTACCGCCTAAATTAGGCACAATATTTTTGTTTTAGTAAGACTTTAATACAATTGAGTTAAAGAAGCCTCGTTCATTTTAATAAGGAAATTGGTTCGTCATAATCGAATAAATTATGAATTGCTGATTGCCTAATTTATCGGCCATCTTCATGAAATCTTGTAAGTTTATTTCAACCTACCGCTTTCAAATAATTGTCCAATTTATGCAGACGATCAGACGGTTAGTATTAAATAATCTATTTAATCATAACAGAGAACCAGATCGATGGCTATGATGAAATGTATCCGTATATTATTCAAAGGACTTTTGTAGCAGAACAGTGATAAGTCATTCTGTATTTGAAAACTTCAACAATTTCACTAACCAGTATTATCATTATATTTGTCATTCAGTCATGTCCGGACATTCTCTGATGTGACTACAGGGAATTCAATCTGAACCCATTGACTTGTTCAGAATAAAACTACTACTACTAAATTTCGTAAAGATTGCTGTCTAGAATCGGTAGTTTAGCGGCCCGGGATCTGACTCCGAGTGGATCGTATGAATGATTTTTATTGAAATATATATGTCGCCTATCCTCGTATATAATCATCGACTTAAATCACATTTGTCAATAACGGAATTAAATAACTCAAATAACCAAAACTTCATACTGATACGCGATGTGTTATAGACTAACCCCACAACCGACTATTGGAGTGAGGATGTATATTGGGATACCAAATAAAATGCGCAAACACTCATTCATATATGTACATACCATTTTAATCTTTAGAAAATTGATCCATTTGTTAGCTAATGGAGTGCACTTGTCCATTAGGCTACTTCTGATTGCCACTTTCATTAGGCTGCATCTGATTGGCTCTCCATATCAGTTATACAAGTTCTCTCTAAGAAGACAGTTGAAATACGTGAGATGGGTGGCATCTATTTACCTACAAGAAGACATTCAATTTCGTTAACCAATGCTTTTTAGTTTAAACAAACTTTGAGTAGTGTACCGTTGGCTCAGTGACTAGTAACAACGTAAACAATTTAAAAGTGGACAGGGAGAACGTGTATGTTTAACGATCGCAAAGACAAAGTCATTCCTTACAAATTAACATCGTGTATCATTGTTTCTGTAGTCATATTTACTACCCTAAAATTGCATTTCCTCAGTGAAATCATAGTCATATTGTCTTTATTTTTAGAGCAAAATGTTTAAAACAAAACGCTTCGGTGTAGAAATATTAAGGAAGAGGTGAACATGATTTACATGAGCGAATAGATCCATGATGAATAATAGAATATATAATTAATAAAACCATAGTCAGAATCATGGTATGGCTGCCAATAGACTGTAGATTTCGATTACGCAATTCTAATAACTCTATGATCTAATCAATCTTATGATTCGACAAGTTCTTGTTAACATCCTTTATCAACAAATGAATAGTTGACAATCAAACATTCTCTGAGTTGAGCTTCTTAGTACAATAAAGAGTATTTTGACGAGAAGAAAATCAGTACACTGATTGAGAATATAGCATGTTGGGAGCAAATAGTATTTCAATCTACATTAAAGATATTATTGAATACACTCTAGATTTGAATCTATTAAAAATACAATACTTACGAATATTAATTGAAACGGCTATTATGAATCTGCATAAGAATAGTAAGTAGATAAAGTTTGATTGTGTTGCCTAAATACAAGTATATTCGACTTTCAATATAAAAAAATATACGCAGCATAAGGCTTCATATAAGGAAAGGTTTTCATGAGAAAACAACCATTAGGTCAATGCAAAATATATTCATTACAACGATAATAAATTGAACCATACGATAGTTTGCTTGCAATTGGTGAAATACAAAACCTCAGATTTTTTTAGAACTTATTCTAGTAGACATTAATCATTCCATTCTTGAAACAGGAAACAATTGTTAACACAATATATATATCGAACTATAATAGTCCAGGTAAATTTGTACAAAGTATTTATCAGTTATTACAAACACCGCATAAACTTAGTTAACTTACTTACTTACGCCTGTTACTCCGCGCGAAGGAGCATAGGCCATCCAACCCTGTCCTGGGCGTCACATTTCTTCTAAATGAAGACCTTCTAACTCCCAGGGCAGAGTTTAAATGGTTTGAGTTATTTTTTCTGGTTAGTGTTTTTTTAGCGAGTTAGTTCTCTACGGGGTGGGGACGCTAACCCCATGCCCAACCTTCCTCCTTTACCCGGGCTTGGAACCGGCAGTAATTCTAGAAGAGCTACAGGCGGAGTTTTAGTTAACTTACAATGTTTTTTTATTTTTGTTAGTACTTTCGTGCAAGTGAAACTATGTTTACTTTAAACAATATTGAAAGTGAAATCCATCTTATCCTAAATACATACAAAATAATAATTGATTATTTTTAAAGGTTCTCTAACATTTTTTAACCGTTCAGTAAACCATAAACAATTTTCATACCTGAATAACTAGAAATGATAGATTGAAATGTAAACTGACTCATGTATCGTTAAAATGATTTAAATGATGATATGCTTATCAAATAGCGATTTAAATTTGAATACTTAATCTTATCTGGTAACTACTAAATGGAATCTGAATTATACTAAAGTTAAACGAAACAGGTTTTTTTTTTCTAAATTTCAACACTTTAATAATTAGTTTATTTGGTTAGCAATAGTTAGTCTGTTAATGTAAAATATATTTAAACCAATCAGTCCATTAATTATTATTATTATTATGCAATTTCATTAATTTTTTCTCTTATAGAAACAAATAAATTTCATTCAAAAAATACACATACAAAATACATACTGATAATGATAATGAAAATGCAGTTAACTTCAAAAGTATAATCAATTAGCTAACTTAATAGAATATGAAACGAGGTAAATGTTAAATTATAAAAAGCGAAAGCACCTTCAAAACAACACCGTTTGAAAATAAACATGATCAACAATATTTTCTTTTTTTTATAGAAAAAAGAAAGAAAAGAATACGGTACGTTGTATTGTGTATTACGTGAGAATGATTTATAATTAATTAATTAGTTTGGATTAAAAAAAACAAACAACCTTCATTTAAAAATTGAACTGAAAAAAAAGAAGTTTGTTCATGTTTTAATAAAACAACAAATTGAATTAAATTTTGATTTTCATTAAAAGGAATAAATAAAGACAAAACAAAAGAGAAGAAACAACAAACTTTAATATTACATACATGATTAGGTAATGATAATAATAATAATACATAACGTCTTGTTTGTACTACTTTGAATTATTAATATAAGTAGTACAATTTTAAATTCAAATATACATACAGATTTCAACAGGAAATGAAATAAGCTTAAGTGAAACATGAAAAATGTCTATTTAATTATAAATAAAAACAACTTGAATTACTTTATGTGATAGGCTATTACAATAGTAATGTTTATGCTTTGTTTAGTTTTTGAAGATAGCTGATATAACAAGATGATAGAGGCGACTGAGAAATTCTTAACAAAAAAAGAAGACACCAGGAAAACAAAAAAGAGGATCCATTTAAAATGAAAGTAATTCATCATCAGAATGAATAAATATTTTTGAAGTGTACAAAAATCGAGAGAGAGAGAGAGAGATGGGTTAAACAAAAAAAGAATAAAAGGTGTTATAGTGCATGATAGAAAAAACAAAGACTTTCTAGTCTTCTAAACATAAATAAACAATGTTTCCATGTGCACATTCCCAGTTTACTGTTTTTTTTTAAAAAAATTTGTTCATTAAATGATATAGATATTTTCTTTAGATTTTTGGAAACTATTTTTTTTGGTTTTTAGTTAAAGTTTCAACATTTATAAAATACAACAACAACCGTCATCACGTGATTTATTCTGTTGTATTTGAGGTTGAGTATTTGCATGTTTCATATCAACTACCGCTTTGGCCATCTTATAAAATACCTATATTTAATTAAAATAGAATAATCATAAATGTTTATAAATAGCGTCATTATATATTGAGGAGAATTGTGACTGTTTGTGTTAGTTAAGTGGTTACTAATTGAGTAGGTAAAAAATGATAATGACTATTGTTCCAGATAGACTGGTAAATATTTAAACGGGTATTTGATGTGTCATATACGTTTCCCTATCCTATGTACTTAGTTGATTATTGATTCATACACATACTGGCCAGGTGAATTAGATGTTCTTGATTCAAGTTATGTAAAAGCATGGTAGAGAAGTTGTTGACTTGGTATTTAGTACAGATTGGACAATACTATACTCAGTAAAACCGTTCATTATTAGTTCAAAGCAAACTAGCGCTACTCCAGTATACGGAGGAAGTTGAGTTTTATTTCAAGTACATGATAATCCTACTTAATAATAGTAGGCGTACTGAAAGAAATTGTCAATTTGTTAATGTTTTGCCCACAATTATTCAGTACTGCTGTGTCACATCAACTTCGATGAGCTAGTTATTGGTTAACGAAACTCGTCATGATGATAAGATTGATCAGTTTTCATAAATTTAAATTATTTGCAATACGTCTGAAGTATCTGAATATTTATTCTAATTCAAGTATTTCATGTAGCACTATTCATGATCCTACTGTACATATGTAAACAAGATAAAGTGTCGTTGATTTTAGATTTTCATAACCATTTAGTTAACTAACTTCATTGACTAATTTATAATAATTATTTTGAACAAAATCACTTTCACTAATTTTTTAAATAAATTCAACTACCATTAAAATAGTCTACTTTTAATCCTAATTAAGTGTTCATTAGAAAAAAAACTATTTATTTTGTTGTATGATTGCATAGTAATACTGTTTTAAGAAAAAGGTATTAAAACGTACTAAGTAGTCATTGGAAACCATAGTCGATTTTTATTACCGTTCACTGTACTTTGTTATGCAAGTTGAATAGCGATGGGTATTTTGTCCCATTCAAAACTCATTAGTAAAGAATAATTATATACCATAATTAATGTTCATACTGTGATTCGAACTCGCTGCCATAATTTTTAAACTCCAACACATTATCTACCGGGATATAGTGAGTTCACATATTCACTAGTCTATGCAATGAGTGTAAATTTTATTTATTAGGGTTTTTCATTACATGTTGTTGGCGTTAAGGACTGTAATACATTCACTATTAGCAGCTTATCGAAATTTACTGAAAACTTATAACTAAATAGAGATATCTAATAATACGTTCAGGATGCATATATAGACTACCAGAGACTGATCAAATGCACCTACTTAAGATTAACAACGAGGAAATGCAACCTCTTACAAATAAGACCAATAACCATCCTATTCTCATGAAAAAAAAACTCAACCACCCTGAATATATGATATTTTAAACATGTTTTGAAAAAAACATGAATTTCTTATTTTTAAAAAAGTAATTCCCTGTTGAACATTGTGATTTGTCTTAGCTGAAGTTTCAATATATTCTATATTCTTCCTTGCAGCATATTCGAAAGCTTCTCTCTGTGACACATTTCTTTGATTCGCTAAATCTACTTTATTGCCAACAAGTATAATTGGAACATGTCCTAATTCTCGAAGAAGAGCAATTTTTTCCCTATAGAAAAAAGAATGAAAGAGTTAATTGAATGTTATAATTTTGAAAAGATATGAAATGTTTTCATATACGTTCTGTACGTACATTAGTTATATTCTCTGTAGGGAATAACTGAGAAATTATAACAAAAATCTGTAACTAGTGGAATTCGGTAATATTTGGGGGTGAGACATATAAACAATGATAATGTTGATAATCATATAATAACACAACTTTATGGTAGTAGGAAATGTGAACCAATGAATGACAACTCTGTCAAATTAATTGTAACTTGGATATATGAGGATCCAACACTATTTCGTGGGGGAGGATAAACTTGGAAAATTTAAAATCCGGATATCAACTCCGGATCTTCAAAAAAAAGGGAGAGGTATTATATCCCGATGAGAATAATTAATGGTAACTTTTGGGATCCACTTATGGACCAATGCTATACATATATTTTTATCGTATAATTGTTAAATAACTAAACTATTCATATTCCTCTTATTATAAGCTTTATTTTAACCTATGCACTATTATTATACCATTTACCATTCTTGAGTTATTCCTAGTTTATCAATAACTATCTCCCATATTTACAGCCACTTTTGGTTAGATCTTGTACAAATGTTATTTTCTATTTTATGGTACGATGTGGTCTGTTTGGTTGGTAATATAAACCCCGTATGCTTGAAATAAATTATTCATATTGCAGAGGCTAAGATTTGTGTTCTGGACTTAACTGGCTGGGCTAGGCGGAAAGCAGGGCCAATCAGAACTTTAGGCTGCTCTCACGTGTTTTATGCGTCATTGGTCCGATCGATAAATGACTGTTCTTTACTTAGCGGGCACAAGTTATAACAAACTCAATGGTGTAAAAGTGACCCCATCACTGCGAGACCTCAAGGTTTTAGATTTAAATTCACAAAATATACGAGTTTCATACTACAATAGGAGAGTCGGCAAACTTTCTTCTGGTATTTAACAGTTATCTATCTAGAATCGGTCAGTGATGTAAAGTAAAAATCCATGAATCATCCATAAACCTTCTTTTGCATTAAATAGTAAATAATTTAATCGTCTTTCAATTTTGAAAAGTTATTTGAATTGAAGAAATGTCTAAAATAAGTGAGAGGTTAACAGTTGATATCCTATTTGTTCATCTTTTAAATAAATATTACCTAAGAAGAAATATAAAAATGTCAACAGACTAAAGAATATACTTCATATTGTATATTAGTAAACATGAGGGAATATGATGAACTTGTTTATTTGTTTTCTATTCACACACACACACACAAGGAAAACAAGTTTCTTTTTCAAAAATGATGAGATAAATTGATAATATTTTTAATATTAAATAATAGTGACCACAAAGAAGTTCACCTTTCTCCACTCTTTCTTTTTTAAAATAAAGATTTTAGTACAGAAATAATCTATGTACTTTTTTTAATATTGATTACATAAAAGTAAACAAAATCAGAATAAAAATAAATGAGATTTGTTTTGGTTCCTTTAATTTTAAATGTAATTTAATAGTTGAATTACAGTTTATGAAACTAATACAATTAAATGTGATCAAAAAGTTAATTTAAAAAAAGCATTTCATTTTGATAATTAAATGTTAATGAAGATTAATTATAAAGATATTCATTGATATAACTTGTAGTTATGTACCTTATTAATATATAAAATATAATAATACCTACCAATTAGAGAACAATGACTTATCGACCGGACCAATAACGCATAAATATATTAGGTTTATATACAAATAAAAATAAACGACATCATATCATACAAGATTTAACCAAAAGTGATTGTGAATGTGGGAGACTATAATTAATAGACCGGGTATAACTCAAGAACAGTAAATCGTATAATAATAGTTTATGGATCAAAATAAAGGTTATAATAAAAGGAACATGAATATATATAGTTAAGTTACTTAACAAATATACAATATATGTACAGTATTAGTTCATAACTAGACTCCAACAGTTACCGTTCATTACTCTCGTCAGGATATAACATAGACAAAAACAATAAAAATAATAACAAGAAATCGAGATCAATGCTAATTATGAATTAACATAAAATTTATTAAGATCATGAATCGATCAATGTTGGACCACTATTGAAAACCTAGTATGAGACTGCTCAGCAGTGCACATCTACAACATTGGCACCGTTGAATGCAAGATCAGTGATCTGGAGGTGAGGCGTTAGTGTGTGAGACCGAAAGTCCTGGTTTCGAGTCCCACGTGTGGGATTGTGGATGCGCATTGCTGAAGAGTCCCACACTAGGACGAAATGGCCGTTTGGTACTTCCAGGTTTTCAATGGTGGTCTAACATTAATCGATTCATGATCTCAATCAAAAACTCAACAATTTCCACAACCCCATATTGATAAAATTTATTGTATTTTATAATAATAAGAGACTGAATACAAATAACTGTTGGTGTTTTACATGACTTTCTTGAACATCTCTGTGTGAAATATTAGGTGGATTTGATTTTCATTTATTCGATAAGTATACATGCATATAAAGTTTATAGTGTAATCTTGAACTATCTGTGATGGATTAAAAAATGGTGTATATTGAGTGTAATGAACTCCTACTGACGAAAATATTCCCAAAACTAGTGTGTACTGTAAAGCATTCACGCTTGGAAGGGTCACTATGAATTGAACGTGAACTGTCCTTATATGATACATTACTATTCTCCTAATCTGGGCTGACTAAAGGACCAGTTACATGAAATAAACAAAAGATATATACATAAATCCAGGACAAACTGATGAATGCGTAAAACTCAGTACAAATGTACAAAAAGTACAGTTGCTACACTTCTAAACAAAATAATCAGAGGAAAAGGAGGTTAATACAACGAAAATAGTAAAACTATAAACACCGAGGAATATACAGAAATTTTATTTTCATTAGTTTAGTACTACCGATTGTGAATACAATGAAACTACTGACCAGATAAGGGAGTGAATTAAGGTTATATAAACTAAAGAAGTATTGTGACAAGAGGTCCCTATGGTTCTTCAGAAAAGTCCTTAGAAGCTAGAAAAATGATAAAAGAAAACTGGGTATGACTTCTTCATATTAATTGAACAATTATCAATTTTTCTCATGACTTCAAGAAACCTCTATAATCCAAGAGTTATATACAGTCTCATAAAAATACTTTGACTTTCTATATAATAACGTTTTCAGATTTAGGAAGTAAGCCAATAATTATTCATCTACAAGTTATATTATGAATGTAAAACAAGACATTAATTACATTTCAAATAATTATTTGTAAATCCACATTAGAAACACTTACATAAAGTCATTAACAGCGCAAAATGAAGCTAAGTCAGTTATTGAAAATACAATAATGAATCCATCACAAGTACGATAAGCTGTTTCTGTTATACCGGCATATGATTCTTGACCTGAATGAAAGTGAAAACAATAAAAAAATGTAATGATTAGATTATGAATAGGGAATTGTAGAAATTAATTTTTAAAAATCACTGAAAACATCTCGGAAATTCTTAGTTTAGATAAGGAAAAACAACGCTTAGAAAATTTGCACAAAGCTTCACATAATTGATTTGATAGGTAGCCAAGGTATTAATTGATTTTAGTGCCAGTGAGATATAAAATTGATTTTTTTCAATCATCTATGGATATTTTATTATACCTTTAGGAAACAGTAATTTTATGACTCGGCTAATTAGTTATATTTGTTGATTATAGTCATTGAACCTTACGATTTTGTACATTTGTGTTTATTTACACAGGCATTTATTGATTAGTCCGTGTCAAGTGGTACTCAATGTAATTTATTCAGATTTCGCTGTTGATCAGTGAACATAATAATCAATGTGTATTCAGAAGTGGCTTCGCTTCATTTTTAGTTTATAATAAATTCTCGTCTATCATCTTCTTTGTATTGTAAGAATTAAAGTTTCTTGTAACATATACTTGATTTCCTGCACTTATATAAAATAGTGACGAGTTAAACCTTAAACGAGCATTTCTTTTGAATAGTTGAATGCCTTCTTTGAGGCATCAGGAAAAACCATTTGAACAAGATCAGATAGGAATCATGTGTTTATGTCAGAAAAATCCTGTATTCAATGAACTAATAAGTACCACACATAGGTTCAGTTAGTAGTGGCATGCGTAAAAAACGCTTTAACGATATAGCTGGTGCTATACTTTATTTATGGGTCAAAAAGTATGAAGAACTGCTTCATGTTAAGTTTTGTAAACTCGGTAATGCTACAAAATTTTGTACATCTCCATGAAGGCTTGGTACTGCAAAACGGGAACGCTACAGTAATTTTATTCTAACAAAAAATCCATGGGATGTCTGTTTTGATAAAAACATAAATACTTTGGTTTGAATCTTTTGAGAACAGTCGTCCTTTTACAAAATCCCTTATTATTGCCTGAAAAGAAATAGCTTTTGCCAGACTGACTGCAGTTGAATGATAATTAAAAATGAGGGAAACTAAAGATATGTCTTATTTGAAAAGACTCTTCAACAATAAACACATGTAACATATCTAGACAAGTACGAAAACTTGGAGTTTTATAACTAGATATGTTATAAGTGTGGATTGTTGAGATTTTATAAACTAAATGAAATAGATTCCCAGTGGTCAGTGATTTTCAGTAGTGTTCTATTTGTTGTTAATAAACATTAACAAAGATCATATACTAAGTCATTTATGTGTATTTAAGTTGTATACATATGTGTTGATTTTTATAATTGACAGCTTTTCTATGTTGTTATAACATTAAATAATTAGGATATGTTGACTTATGGATGTAGTACTCTAGTACATAAATTATGACAATCCGCCATTGTCAGCATGTATTTTAACACTAACATTCTACATCTATATAATTTTGATCAAAACGAAGCTACAGACCTCTTCATTTTCCAACATTTTACATAGTTTACTTACTTACTTATGCCTGTTACTCTCTGTGGAGCATGTGCAGCCAAATTTTACATATACTATTAACTTGAAATTGATTGATCAATATTAGAACTAAAAACGCTATCCCACTGTACTGGTGAGGTGTAGTAATAAGTAATAGATATTCATCACGTATTATTAGACTAAAAAGCATTCCAAATACATCAACTGATAACAACGTTTAATGAGAACATTTAATTAACAGTATTGTTGAACATGTCAGTCTTCATAAAAATTGACATCAATAGGTTATGACAACTTTTAATAATTATCATAATTGATAGTTCCTAGGTTCTAATCCCGCGAGACGGGGTTATGGATGCGCTCTGCTGAGGAGCCCCACAACGGGACGAAACGGCCGTCCAGTGCTTCCAGCTTTTCCATGATGGTCTAGCTTCAATTGATTCATAATCTCAACTATTGAAATTATCATAACTACATAGTCATGATGAACGTAGATCAGTTAAATTACAACAGAATAATTACAAAAAATAAAACAATTGATATATAATCCATTTAGTGATACATTTCTGTTATATCCTAGTGAAGATTAAATGATGAGCAACTTCTGAGAGTTATTAATAGACTAATATTATAAATATATTCTTATTGTATAACTATTGAGTAACTAGATTATTGATATTTATATTCCTCTTATTATAAGCTTTATTTTCATCTATAGACTATTATTATACGATTTACTATTCTTGAGTTATATCCAGTTTATGGATTACAGTCCTACACGATCATAGCCACTTTTTTGGCTTGATCTTGTACAATTATTATTTTATAGTATGATATCATCTGTTTGGCTTGTATATAAACCAAGTTTATTTGAAATATATTATTCATACAGTAGAAATTGTTATTATTGACATTCTGGATTGAATTAGTAGAGATAGTAAGGAAAAGGATCAATAAAGACACTAGGTTACTCAAATCGGTCAATATATCATTGTTGTGGCACATTATTAAAATTGTATTCTGATTGGCGAAAAAATCATATGATATGTAACGGGTAAATGTTACAACAATTTCAATCAATAATCATTCTACACATGTCATGTTTATAATTAATAATTATAATAAATTATCATTATTAATTAGTAGTATTTATCTTCACCTCATAAAGGATTAGACTTATCAATGTTAGTAGAAAGCAAACAAACAACTGAAGGTATCTACTAAAAACTATCCATAAGGCATAATTATTATAATAAAATTCTTTTCAATAACAATAGGAGGTAACTAATATAATTTTTTTTAGTTTTTTTAAATTTCATCACTGAAATTTCAAAGAAATTGAACAATGAATAAACTCTTTATGATAATAATAAGTTTGTATTTTTTAATAAGTGTGTCACAAGCCAAAGCTTTATACATATTTAGTGTTTATAATCAATGCATTCTTCTTTACAATTTTATCTCATGTTATCTATTTTCTGAGTGTCTGTTTAAGGTTGTTACTGATCTAATTCGAGTTATTTATTTGTTTTGAACACATGAACATCGGTACAAGAAGGCTGTTAGGTAGTCTTTGGATAAAATCTTAGATTGCGGTGTAGGTGAGACGAGGTATTCGTTTGCGATATCGACTAGTTTAGATTTAAACCAGCCTTTCTTTTCTTTACTAACTGGGTGCAACTCTTTAAATTGATCAAATAAATCCTCAAATTGAGTTTCTGTGTCGATTCTATCGGCATGTGTTTTGGGGATATGAAATTTAAATCCAAGCGACAAGGCTTCTGTTTCCATTTCACTTAACTTCACTGTTGGTAGATTGTAGAGAGAATTTTCAGGGTTTTCTGGGAAGCCAAAGCAAAGTTGTTCCTTTGACAGAGTCTTTGACAAAGTTACGTGGAAGTTCTTGCTTATTTTGTTTTGTGAACCTCGGATTGATTATCCTGTCCAAAACAACATGTTCTTTGACACAATCAAAGGTCGATAGGTATCCCATTCATGTTACCACCAACTGTATATACAAATTTACATGTATCTACCAAAGCAGTTACATTGGTAGGACAGAAAGGACAGCCTAAGTCCGATTCAAAGAACATATTCCGAAGGGTTTTAGATCAAACGGACTAAAAGCATTCAGCAGCGCTATCGCAAGACATTTCCTTGACATAGGACACGAAGTCGATATACTCAAGTCCTTCAAGGTGATTAACAAACAATCAAATTCAAACCTTTTGAAATTTGCTGAAGCGATAGCAATCAGAAGTTTAAAACCAGATCTTTGTATACAAAAAGAAACAGTAATGAATCTTTCTTTGCCCTGGTAACATTACCCCCCCCCTTCTTGTTTATTACGTCACACCAACTCTTTCTGAATTTTATAATTACATCATTCATAACTGACCGATTTCAATTCATATCTCTCTTTATTACCATCAATCTATTTTCAGTTACTTCATTACATAATTATCTAATGTGTTTTAATTCCATGAGTTCTAATCACTATTTCTATGCTATGGAACCTTCCCTCCCAAACTCTATATATTCGAAACAAAATTTTATGACCTCATTAACTCTAACAGAATACTTGCTACATCATGTTACATATATTTATCCTTTATCACCCTCTGATGTATAGGTATATCAATATCTGTAATAACGTTGAATTTCAAATATTTTAGGTTGTAAGCAGCTGATGAGAACCTAACGAAGTAAAATGAATAACATATTATTCTGCACCAACCTTTGTTCTTGCTCTCTTTAAAAAAATAAAGGGAAATATGTGTATGAAAATGAACAGCAACAATGAACAGAAATTAGTGAGTGAAATAATAATAATAATAATAATAATATAAACAGCTGAGTTAGAGAGAGTACAATGAAAAAGAATCCTTTAGGTTAAAGGAGTTACTCTGACCTTCACGAAAGTAAAGGAAAGTTACAGCACGATCGCCACTGTCTTTTATTCCGAGCCATGTCTCATAAGGTCTCAAGCTGCTGTGTTTCATCATCTGTAGGACACTAACAAGGTTACTGTGAAGGATCAACAGAAGCCATTCCTGTAGAGCTTCTTTTCACACCATGACATAACACTGACGACTTTGCATTTTTCAACCGGTCCAAGCATCGACAAATAATGCACGACAATCTTAAGACATGCTTAAGCCACCGAAGTCGATGTTTCAAGATGGCGACACTAGATTATTGTCGCTGTACCTGAGCACACGATGCCGAAATTCTTCATAACTAACATGATTCCATTGGATGTGAGCAATCCTTCGGAGACGACAATGACCAAACACAGAGTCGTCTAGCATCCTCAATTCAGAAGGGCCAGTTATTACAAGCATGGAGCGAAACTGCTCTCACGGATGCGTTGTATATCAGACCCTTTACAGTCAGACTAACATCAAGAAGGAACCAAATTAGCATTAGCCACTCTGGTTTTCATTATACGTGAATTTATCTCATCATACAAGCCACTACCAGCCCTTACTCAG